ACACCAAGTTTATTTCTTAATTCATTGACTTGTTGATTTGATAGATTACGAATGTCTTCATGTTCAACATAGAAATTCTTTTCAAATGGTGAATATTCAATTGTAGAATGATCAATAGATGGAAGAGGATCAATATGCTAAAAGAAGAAAATGATTAGTTTATTATTTATTTCTTTGTCTTCTATCATACTTTAGATATTTCAGGAGCAATTAAATTACCTAGGAAAATAAAAATAAAAAGAATGAAACTCAAATTAGACATAATACCATCATCATCATATTGTAATTCTCGATCTTCATCATCATCATCTGCTATCGGCAGACCAGCATTTGGATTTTCTTCAAGCCAACGAAAGTATGATTCTTGATCATCTTCTTTTTCAATATCATCACGTGTTCCTCTAAATTTTTTTAATTTAAATTTATCCGTATGTATTTTAATTTTATTTACTTTTCTTGTTTCTTTTCCTTTTTCTTTCCTATAGATTCTAAATCTTTTTTTGCTTGATTATTATTTGTTTTCATAAATTGTTCAAGCGGATCTTCTTCATCATCATCATCATTTTCTTCGTCTTTTGATTCTGCTTGATAACTAGGACTACCTGGTGCTGGTTGATAATCTAAATCATCATTAAGTTTTCTATTATTAGTTGTCTTTGTTTTATTGTATGATTCAACATCCAGATCATCAGAATCAAAATATCTATTTAGATAATAATAGTAATCATATATATAAATTAAATTAAATTTAAATCATACTCTTGTTCAGTACGATGTGCTTGTGTAACAACATCAGTTTTTCTAACATTAGCACGTAAATTACTTGGTAAACTAAATTAAAAAAAATTGATTAAGATTATACATAGGATAACGAAAAGTTTTACGGAAAAAGTTGTTGCAATTTTGGATCGACAGGCTTATTATTGGATGACATTATCTAAGAGTAAATTTTCGAAATTCAATTTGATATATTAATAGAGAAACACCAAAGAACTATTCGATTCGTCAAAGATTTAATCTAGTAGAAACGATTTATTCTTTTGTGATGTCGCTATATATGATAGAAATTAATTTAGAATATGAAAAAATTTTATTTGTAATAATTATTAACAGTCAAAAAAAAATAGATTAATTAATCAATTTTGAAAAACTAATTTCTTCAAATTGCATATAATTAACTTTATTTCGATTTTGATCGTATACAACAATATCTGCATAGTTTTTACAGCAATCATTTGATGATAATAATAAGTGTAAATTAAAACGATTGATTTCATTAGTGAGAAATTTAATCGTTTCTTTATTGGGTTGAAGAATATTTTTATTAGAAGTCCTCCATAAAGAACGTTCAATAGAGCTCATCGGGTACAAAATTTTCGACTCTAGTTAAGAAAAAGCGCCAGGCCTGAGCCTCATCGGGTACAAAATTTTCGACTCTAGTTAAGAAAAAGCGCCAGGCCTGAGCCGGATCGGGTCCTAGTTCGGGACCGATGCGACAGACTCTCACGTCCAGTATTAAAAACTTTTTCAGCAAAAACCTACTTGTTCACACATACAGTTGCCTTTCTACTAAATAACAGTTCATTAAATAAATTACCTTTTCGGGCTGAGCTCGCATATATACAGTTTCGAAATTTAATTAAGCCAAGAAACTCTTAGACACACTAATATTAGGATTTTTACTACGAATTTTATTCGAATATACATATTACATAGACATTATGAAACATTTTAGTATAATAGGCATATATTTAGCTCAGTATAGTTTAACAAAGTTCATTGTATTTTTATTTTATAATTGTATGTGCACATACTATTCGAAGACCTAATTTATGCTATATGTATAAAGATTGTCATGAAAATCTTTGTATTGTTGATGATTTCGAGGAATTTCATGCTTTATTATATTTTTAGATTTTTTTATATTAACTTTTCTTCTCATATGTTATTGAATTGTTGTTTGCTATACTTCTTAGTTGTGTGTTTTCTTTTTGTTGTTCCAAAATTAAGTGAAAATTCAACGTTCTTTTCTATGCAAAAACGACTGATCCTCAAAGATTTAAATATACTTCATTTTTTATTGAAAAAAAAAGAATTTTAATACAAATGGCATTTGAAAACCTAACAACGTTCATATAACTGGTGATGGGCATACTGTTGAATTACTTCAACAACGTATTTAAATTTAACTGGTTTATTCAGCTCATTTCCTATTTCAAAAAGCTCTTCAAACTTCCTTATCATAATAAGTAAGAACAACAGAATGAATACCAACTCGAATATTCAATGGGTTAATGTCTGTTATATTGAGATATACATTCCAATATCTTGATGAACATGAATCAATAGGACCTTGACACGTTTCATATAGTATTTTACCTGATGAAAATAGAGAATTACAGATAAGTTGTCGAATATTATTAAATGATGATATCATAGTAGTGTGTAATGTATATGAATTTAATGCATTTAGTTTGTGTAGATTTTTAACAATAATGGATATATCTGATGATGAACCAATGAATGATAAAGTATTCGAAGCTTGCAATTCAAAAAAATTGCTTGTATTTCATTAGAATTCAATGTAAATTGATTTTTGTTGAATATAATATCAAAAATTTGGTAGTGTTTATGTAATTGTAACAATGACAGTTGAAGTTTTTGGATTATGGTTAATGAGAGTAAAGTTTACTTTAGTTTTTTGTCCAAGTTGTATATATGATGAAGATTTACTATCAAAAATAACATTAAGTTCTAATGTTTGAGGTATAATTTTATGAAAATATAAACGTTCAATAAGTTCATTTTGATTATTTTTCCCTCTTATTTTAATGAAAAAAATCTACTGATGGAACCACAATTTTACTTGTGTAAATTAATTCATTCGATTTTATTAGTTTATATTATTGTAAAAGATTATAGGATAAATCAATAAATTCTAATTCATAAAAAATAACTTCTTAAGAACTGTACTTAAGAATATGAATGAAACAGTACAGTTGACTTCATTTGATCGGTTCTGTATAAATAGGATAAAAATCAGGATGAGTTAAATTAGTATTGAAAATATTGAATAAATGTTTGAAATGTATTGGAGTGTTTAATGTTATTTCAAAAGATTTAATTAAAAATGAATTTGCTCGAAATAGCCATGGTCCAATTTTTTCATGTTCATCATCGAAATTAAGGAGAAAATCTATTAAAGAATGATTAGGAGAAATAAATAAATTTTCAACATCAAACTTTGTAAACAGTTGGTATTCTGATGTAATATTAATCACAAAATTGAATACTTTCTACTGAACACTCGGTATGAAAACTATACAAATTCGAACTAGATGAAACTAGATTAATAATTAAAATTGGTATTGAATGAATATTTAAGAGATCACCATACAAGAGATTCAACATTTCCTAACGCCCAAGCACTTACTATGAATATTTTCTTTTCTTTTTTCACACAACTTTCGACAAAATTCTGAAGATTATTTTGTTTCGAAGAGCAATTTTCAATCTCAAATGAATCAGTTGAATATGAATATGATGTTGAAATACTTGAAGATTATCTTGCATGAGCAGATAATTATTTTGTGGAGCAGTTATATGAGACGTTCGAGTGCTATTGATATGAAACTTCATTATTTTGTTTTTATTATTTTCTGCTCATTAAAATCGAATGTAACGAGTGAACTATGACGAATGGATCTCTTATCATTTTGTATATTATTTCGATGATATTACAACGTGAAGAAGTAAGTTTTCTTTTTTTCAAAGATGTATCTTTTAATTTTCTATAATCTTCGATATTTCAATTGTCACTAATAAGTTATTCCGACGTGGTATGGTAGTTGTAATTTTATTCTAGTTTCTCAAAAAATCTACATATACTTATGCCGGTGTTTATCATAACTGTGAAGTCGAATCATCTTTTGAAATCGTTCGAAGCTTTGATAATCCAAGACGAAACGATAATGGCAATTTTACATATATATAACGATTGCAATAGAATACAGTTTCGTGATCACTTGTTGGTTCAAACTAATTGAGAGATTAAAAAAAATACTTACTAAAAAGTTGAAGTGCGTAGAACGAAAATTGACAAAAGGCTTTTTTTGTAAAAGTTTTTGATTTTACACATATTTATTTAGTCCTCAATTCCAAAGTGACAAACCCCGGTTGAATAAGTTGAAATATGTAAGTTTGTAGAGAATTATGAGACGCATTTTTAATAAAAAAAAACTTGCTTCTTCACATTTTAATACTATCGAAATATATGTAAAATAATGAGAGTACCGTTCTCTATGGATTACTTGTTATTTTGAAAAACAAAACCATGAAATAGATTAGTTTTTTTTTTGTTATTTATGAAATGTGTTCATTCATTTCTTTTTTTGATATTTCTATTTAATAAAAATGAAGCAGTGTATTTGAACAAGCAAGGTTTTTCTGAGAGTTTTCTTTCATAGTGAACTTTCAGAAAAGGAACGGATGAAAATACGTTTGTAGCCTGAACATCACTTATGAATAACATCTAATGTGCAACTAATAAGTTGTCTAATAGAATATAAGTTATTATTTGGAATATTTATCTTCATACCTCTTGTTTCCAAAGCTATTTGTTCGATTACTTTTGTTTTTATTTCTATTTGTTGATGTGTACTTGCACGATTCGATATTAGGAAATGCATATTACAATTTTTACGTTTAGCAAGGATAGAAACTTCATTACTTCTTTCATTATCATTACGTAATTCATTTGTAAAAACATAAGCGAAACAATAATCATTTGATAACGATAAACTTGTAATAATAGCATTCATAGTAAGTTTAGTATTGCCCATTATATAGTTAAACTATCAAGAAAATTTAATAATCGATTGCAATGTTATTTTATTTGAAGTGATATTACTATTAATTTCTCGTGTTGGTTTTTTAATGTTAACGATATCCTCATTCATACTATTCGACAGATCAATAATGAAAATCAATGATCGGTGACATTATACTGATTCTAATAATCGACCAAAATATGATGTACTATTATGGTTTGTTTCCGTTAAATGCCATAATTTCTTTAGAAATAAATAAGTCAATTCAATAGCAGCATTTGCTGCTGTTTCTTGACGATAACGACTTGGTAAATAAATATTTGTCCTCACATCTTTATTAATTCCACCACGAGTTGATATATTATCAGTTGTATCAATAATTCCACCATGTGAACATTTAAGAACATTTTTTGGTTTTACTACAGGTTCATCATCTTCCATTTCTCTCACATCATAACCACTAGTAAATATTTTTTTATGATTGATTAATGGAATAATATTATCAATATATTCATAAAAACATACATCACAAGGTTTTCCATAATTTAAATATGTTGACATATTTATTGTAGCAATATTTTCATTCAATGCATGAATTTCACCTAATGCTTTATAGGTTCCATTTTCACCCATTTCAATCGAATTAGAATGATTCTAAAAATTTTGATGCGTATGTAAATATTTATCCAATTGTTCATGTGCAGTGATATATTGTCCATTTCGAATTGCATTTAAGATTAATTCTTAAGATGTAATGAACAAATTATTTCCTCTAATAAATTGTTCAGCATCAAAATGATACAGAGAATGATTTTTGTTTCTGGATCATTATTAACATTACCATTGGACTTTTCTATTAAACCTACAGCGGCAACATGTCAAGTCCAGAGTTCAAATTTAAATATTTCTAAAAATTGAATTTCGATTTTTACATCTAAACATTCTTAAGGTATTCCTTGTATAACTTTTCTAATAATACCATCATGACTATAACCAAGACCGAGTAATTCACTAATGAATACAATACTAAATGAATATGCAGAATGTACAAATAATAATAATAGTAACCATATTCTCATCATTTATTATCTGTCAAAAAAAAATTGATAAAGAATATTTCTTTTACTTTTTTATGTGATGATCAAAGTCATATGAATGAGTTTGTTTTTTGACAACGTTTTCTCTGCAGCATTCGACATCAGTGACTGTCATTAGAACGAAACAAAATAATTTATCCTGGTAATTTTTTTTTCTCATAAAAAGTCATTTGAAATCGTTTACTACATGCAAACATGAATCTTTTAGAATATGTGTCATCTAATTATGTAATTCTACAAACTAGTGCGAATTTCATGTTTTCGGTCGATTTTATTCGAAACTATGAATGCAATACGGACTCTCTCGATTTCGAGGAGATTTAACGCCTTTATCAAATCATAAGTACGTCAAGTAAATAATAAAAAATAAAGAAATATCGACCTGCTGAGAAATAGTGATAAATGATTTCGACTGAATATGGCAAGATATTGGACTAAATTTTTCATAATTCTATCAACCCATTATATAGTCAACCTCAGTTTACATGCTCTGAAGACGCACTGCCTTATCCGACCTCGAGGGCAGGACAGGACGAAAAAAATGCCCTATGACAACTTGTTTGGTTTCATATTCATAAAGATGCATAACAAGTTGCTACATCATTCAAAGCAAAATGCTTTTCCATAATAGAAAATCTATTTGAGATTTTCTCTGTAATCCAATAACTCCGTCTATGTTCCGTTGTACTAATCATTCTTCAAATGAATTGATTATATGAGCTAGAAAAGTTTGTGATATACTTGTAGATACACGTCAATGATGATAATCGTTTATGTAACGATAAACAAAGAGTAAATTACTAATGCGAAGAACATGAAAGAGATCATACCATAGAAACATAGATAAGATAAGTAAAAGTGGTACGATATTTATAGACGCCTGAAATAAAAGAAAATTGACAAAAATACAAGTGCATTAACTCATATTTACATACGCAATATCATCTTAATTTGTGACTAGTATGAGATCACTATCGATAATGCTTCGTAAACGTAAACGATGAACAAAGTTTTTAATTTATCTACTTCTTTTTATTAGAATTTATAGTTGATATACTGTCTTGCTTCAATCATTTCATATCTGAACAACATTATTACAAAATACGAAGAATCAAAGTATAACGAATGATCTACACTTACATTTAATACTATAACTAAAAACACATTGATTTTTGAATGTTCGCCATGCAATGAAAACAAAATTATCATTAGTTTTCGCTTAAATCAAATATTAAAAGCAAAGTTTCTTGTATGTATTGTTTTAAGTTTATTATTCGAAAATCTTTGATAACAAAATTGTCAAAAGTCGTGCTTTATAGTTTCTGTCTTTCTGTTCATATTGGAGGCAGACCTAAATGAGACCAAGAAACGACAAACGTAGCCAAATGAAATCGCATTTTCATCTGATTCTTGAGTTAAATTTTAGAGTTTTGTTACTCTACCTAAGCACTACTTATGTGACATCAATGATTGAGACAATGATGTTCGCACCATAACACTAATGGACTCTGTTGTATTGCTAATGCTTATCACACTTAATTTTCTCTAATGAATTGTAAAATACGACAGAGATATCGGAAACGAATACCTAAAGTCTAGCTTATGTAATTATGAGAATAACTAGAAATGCACGACTTTAAGGAATATTTCCTTCACTTTTTGCGACAATTTTAGTTTCATAGTCGTAAAACGAATAATCATTCTAATTATATATGATGTGTTATGTATATACGTTGCAAGAGTTTATTCTTAAACATCGTTAAAGATTTCAATGAAATACTTCTAGATTCTATGAACTGGTTGATCAACAGACAAGCAAGATTATTTTAGACCGAGTTAATATCGCTTCAAAAAAGCTGCATATAAAAAACTTTTTCCTTGAATACGCTCCTACATTAAAGAGCGAGATGTTAAATGATTAAAAAGAAAATTGAAAAACCTTGATTTTCTCAATGATAAAATGTCATGGTCTTAAACCATTCACCGTGCTCTTGTTTCTTCAATTCAATTTTTGAGGCATTGCCAATAATTTTCTTGTAAGTAAATTAAGGCTTAGCGATCACAAGAACACAAAAAAAAATCATCAGTTGATGCGAGCTTCAACCAAAGCAATGCATCTTGGTAAACGAATCACACACAAGTTGATGAATTTCAACTAATAGTAGAAAAAAAAGGACAAGTTTTGTTGAATGTATGTTACGAGCAATCAGGTACAAAACATATTTACCAATTTTACATCGATCAAAAGCGATACTGGAAGTTTGTTTCACAATGAAGGAATCGAGCATATATATTCCAATAATTTCATATTAATTTTTAAACTTTCTGATTCTTGTCTCATATCTAAGTTTACGAAACGTGTATAAT